TTATGTGTTTATTTATTTAAAGTAAGCTCTACACTGCTAGGAATTTACCCAAGGGATACAGAAATGCTGAGGCATAGGAGCACATGAACCCCAATGTTCATAGCAGCACTCTCCACAATAGCTAAAACGTGGAAAGAGCCTAAGTGTCCATCAACAGATGAATGGATCAAGAAGATGTGGTTTATCTATACCATGGAATACTACATGGCAATGAGAAAGAATGAAATCTGGCCATGTGTAGCAACGTGGATGGACCTTGAGGGTGTTATGCTGAGCGAAATAAGTCAGGCAGAGAAGGACAAATATCATATGTTTGCACGTATAGGAGGATTAGGAGGAACTTGATGGAGGAACAAGGGGGAGAAGAGGGGCAGAAATGGTGGGGGTAAGGGAGAGAGGCAAACCATGAGAGACTCTTGAATGCTGACAAAAACTGAGGACTGATGGATGTGGGGGGGAGGGGGGATGGGCATGGAGGGAGGACACTTGTGGGGATGAGCACTGAGTGTTATGTGGAAACTAATTTGACAATAAACTATTTGTAAAAAGAATAAATAAATAAAATAAAATAAAGTAAGCTCTATACCCAATGTGGGGCTTGAACTCACGATCCTGACATCAAGAGTCATGTGCTCTACCAAATGACCCAGAGAAGCACCCCTGGATCCCTACATTTTATTTTATTTTTATTTATTTATTTATTTTTGAAAGAGAAAGAGAGAGAGTGGGGGGGGCAGAGGGAGAGGGAGAGAGAATCTCAAGCAGGCTCCCTGCTCGGCGCAGAGCCCAATGCAGGGCTTGATCTTTTGATCATGAGATCAAGACCTGAGCCCCAATCAAGAGTCCGATGCTCAACTGACTAAGCCACCCAGACACCCCTAGATCCCTACATTTTAGACAGGCAGGTGGATAATGGGAATGAAACTTACTTATGACCCTGTGACAACACTGTTCTAGTAAGATGTAAATGGAAGCATGTGACTTTTAATGGAGGTGACATGCTTTTCTTCAATCCAACCTCCTTCTAACTGGCTGGAACACAGATGTGCAGGTGGGGGCCTGAACAGCCATTTTGTTTATTTATTTATTTTTGAGAGAGAGAGAGAGAGAGAGAGAGAGAGCGAGTGGCGGAGGGCAAAGGGAGAGGGAGACACAGAATCTGAAGCAGGCTCCAGACTCTGAGCTGTCAGCATGGAGCCTGACGTGGGGTTTGAACTCATGAGCCATGAGATCATGACCTGAGCTGAAGTCAGATGCCTAACCAACTGAGCCACCCAGATGCCCCTGAACAGCCATTTTGGGCCCTGGGGCAGGATACTAAGGAGTCTATAGGTACCAGAGAATCATGAAGCCATGATTCAGGATGGCCTGTCCTCAGGTTCTGTTTATAAAAAAGAGAAATACATTTTTATCTTGTTTAATCTATGAGTATCTTGGGTTTTCTGTCCCATACTGTTGAAATGAATCTAAACGTGGGGCATTTTTCTTGGAGGCCCACCCTAATGTGCTGAAGGAGCAGAAAGCCAAAGGAAAGGAAAGAGCTTGCCCGAGGAAGGCCAGGGGAATGCTAGAGCGCAGCGAGAACTGGCAGCTTCCTCTCTCCATGGGCAGTATAATCTAGAAGCAGTCCTCTCTGTTCACTCTTCAGCAGAGCCAGCCCCTCTCACCCACCCCTCACAGGTACACGGTGACTGTGATGAGTAACCGTGACCTACCTAAAAAGGTAAAGAGCCCACTTTGGCATTTTTTTTGCTACCGATTCTCAAGTTTCTCTAACACCGGTGCTTCAGTTCAGCTGTGTATCTGCCTCATTTGGCAAATTTCCCAGAAACAAAGATATACTTGTCCTGGATCTTTATGCAACATCCAAAGAGGTAAGCTAAGGCAGCAAGCGTCGTCCAGCTCAGGAATCTGCACGAGGGTCTGAATTAGTAGGAGGCAGCAGCTTTCGTACTGGGTATTTTTACACAGAAAGTCCCTGTGAAATGCCTAATCTGTTAGTGTTTTCAGGAACAACATTCACCCAGGAGAGAAGGACCCACTCTAAGCAACTCCGAGTCTCCCCGCTTCAAACACAATGTCTACAGAAGGGAGCCCTGTGTGGGGACCCACTCAACACCCAGGTCTTTCCCACTTGTTTTTGTTTTTTAATGTTTATTTATTTTTGAGAGAGAGAGAGAGAGAGAGAGAGAATGAGCAGGGGAGGGTCAGAAAGAGAGGGAGACACAGAATCTGAAGCAGGCTCCAAGGCTCTGAGCTGTCAGCACAGAGCCTGACGTGGGGGTCAAACTCACAAACCGTGAGATCATGACCTGAGCCGAAGTCAGACGCTTAACCGACGGAGCCACCCAGGCGCCTCAGGTCTTTCTCACTTGTAATGGCACCTGGTTTCCTTTTAGGAAACCATCCCCCCACTGCTCTATTGCCCATCCATGTGGTTAAGGCCGGTGTGGCCAAGTGACTCAGGCAAAAATCCATCCGTCCAACCATCCAGTCACTAGATACTGACTGAGCACCTACTATGTGCCAGGGACTGTTCCAGGCACTGGAGATGAGATAGTATTATAGACAAAACCCTCTGTGGAACTTTCTAGGAGAGGAGGTCAACCTCAACAACTCCCAGTTAATCCACGGTGTGTCAGACATGCCAAGTTCACTGAGGAAGCAGTGTCGAGAAAGGGCTAGACAGCAGGGCTGGGCACTGCAGTCTGAAACAGGGTTCACGGAGGCAGGGAGAGGGCCCTGTGGATGTGGAGGAGCAGAGGCCAGAGAGAAGGGCAGAGGCTGTGAGGCAGGCATTTGCCTGGCACGTTCAGGGGAGCACGGGCAGCAGCACGGCTGGGGAGGGGGTGAGTGGGGGAGGACTTGGGGACAAAGACATAAGGGCAGGAGCATCAGATCGTGTTTTGCCTTGAAGGCTGTTAGGGAAACTGGCTCTTCTCTGAGTGTGTTGTGCTGGAGGGTTCTAAGCACAGGGGTGACGTAAGAGGATTTCCATCTTAAAGACTCCCTCCACCTGCTCAATGTGGACCAGATGTGGGGGCGGAAACAGGGAGACCAGCTGCAATGATCCGGAAGAGACTGGGCAGCTGGTGGAGGTGGAGAAGCCCTCTGGTTCTGGTGTGTCCTGAAGGCAGAGCCGGTGGGGGCTGTGGGCCATCGGACGTGGGGCATGAGGGAGGGACAAGAGTCAAGGGTGACTTGGGTTTTGCTCTGAGCCCTTGCGGGGAGAGAGCTGGGAAGCAGCAGCTTGGGAACAGACAGCTGGGGGGTGGGGGGGCGGGCGGGGGGAGCAGGTTTAGCCTTGAGCAGGCAGAGAAGCAAATGGCTGGGCTCCTGACATCACCACAGAGACAGTGCCCAAACTCGTGAGACCGGACGGGGCCGGGCAGGGGGTGAGTGAGGACACAGGTGTCCAGGACTGGAGCCCAGAGAGAGGAGAGGAGGGGAAAGCAGCAGCGAGGTGGGAGAGCCTGAGTGGGAACCAGGCGCACGCGGCACAGGGTGTGGCCTCGGAGAATGCAGGGAGCCTGTGGGCTCCCGTCAGGACCAGGCCTTTGCTGGCATCCTTGGGAAAGAGACACTCTTTGCCGGGGCTATCGGGACGATGGTCTGTGAGCCAGCAGCCATCTTGCCATCAAGAGGCAGAGCCTGACTTAGAATCAAAACAACCCAAAGACCCGAACAGGTAGGTGGGGGAGAGATAGAGCCTGGTGGCCCGGTGCACCCCACAGTCTCCTCTGTGTCACCCTAGGCTCAGTTTCTGTAATCAGGAGACGGAACGGAAGGTCCAAGGTCTTTTCTCCCGCTTGGCCTGGCACCTGCCCATCTGCCCGGCAATCACACGGGGCAGCCGGGCCCGGGCATGGGCTCAGAGGGCTCATGGGTTGGGGGGTAGGACTTGCCCACCACACCCGAATGACAATGCCACAGTCCACTCTAGCTGTGTTCCGGGCTTTTCCATCCCGGAACATCTCAGGGCCCGTAGCCCTCCTGGATGACCACTTCAGATCTCAAGGGACCTCGGGGCCACCCCCAATCACTGCCCGCTCTACCCGGACCGAGTGGGCCAAGTTCTCTGCGAGTACTCTGGAGCTGCCCAGGGCTTTAGACCAGTGAGCTCAGAGCTGTTACTCTCAGCACAAGGAAAGGCAAGTGTACAGCTCAGGGTGGGGCAGATGGGATTCTCCAGGGAGCTTGACAGAGAGTCGGCAGTTTCCACGTTTCCCCCCCAGGCCCCAGGGCCCCAACGGACATCGCTACTCCTGAACACCAGCACGGAAAGGACTGTTAAAAGCCACTTCTGGCACCCACAAGCCTGGGCCTGGAGCAGGCTGTCAGGAAACTGTCTCGGATGCACAGATATGACCCTGGCTACAAACCTCAGATGTGGCTACAGAACCCCCACCCCCACCCCTGTCTAGGGAGATGACATTCCAGAAATATTCCCTCTGTCCCATCCAAGGAGGCTGGGGTCCCCGTACCTCACCTGCTAAGACTGGGTGCAGCACCAGGCACACAGCATCTGTCCTGCCACGCCTCTCCCAAAAGGTGAACCAGAGGGGCGCCTGGGTGGCTCAGTCAGTTAGGCGTCCGACTTTGGCTCAGGTCATGATCTCACAGTGGATGACTTTGAGCCCTGAATTGGGCTCTATGCTGACAGCTCAGAGCCTGGAGCCTGCTTCGGATTCTGTGTCTCCCTCTCTCTCCCTCCCTCTCTCTAAATAAATAAATAAATAAATAAATAAATAAATACATAAATAAATAAATAAAGCATTAAAAAAGGAAAAGAAAAATAAAAGACTGCCTGTGAGCTTGGCCCGGCTCAGCCCAAGGTCACATGGCCAGGGCAGGTTAGATGTGGCTTTCCAGATCTCAACCCCACAGTCTGGCCACCACCCTGTGCTGCCAGCCACTGAAGGGGCTGAGGCACTGGGTCTGATCTGCATACCCTGGGACTGGCTTCCTGGGTGTCACAAATCACCATAACCTCGGCAGCCTCCAACAAGGCATATTTATTGTCTTATCGTCTTGGAGGCCAGAAGTCCAAACTCCACTGCGCTGGGCCGCAACGAAGGTGTTGGTGGGACCACTCTTCCTCTGGAGACCCGAGGGCACAGTCTGTTCTCCTGCAGGCCCCAGGTTCTAGAGCTGTGTTCCTTGCATTGCTTGACTCCTGGCCTGCCCTCCATCTTCAAGGCCGGCAGGGTGGAGAAAGTCAGGCATCTTGCTGGGGGCATTCCATCAGCTTCTTCCATGCTCTGTGGTCAAATATCCTTCTGCCTAACCCCTTGTAAGGACGCATTCAGGGCCCCCCTGGCTAATTCAGGACAAGGACCCCATCTCACGTGCCTTCACTTAATCACACCTGCAGTCTCTTGTCACCTAAGGTAATATTTACAGCTTCTAGTGCTAGGATCTGAATATCTTTAAGCGCTATTATTCAGCCTAGTGCACACACACCCATGGTCTTGCAGCCCTACATTTGTCAGAATTGCTCACTGTGCCCCTACACACTTGCTCTTCCCTATACTTAAGGAAAGCCAACTTCAATATCCACTGCTCTGCCCTCAAGCTTTCCAAGAACACACCCCTTCCATAGCACTGGGCTTCAGCTGTTCCTCAGAGTTTCCGCCCGCTTGATTTCATCAACACCCCAGCACTTAGCACTCTCCCCTCTGCGTCTGTTCCTTTTTAGTTTTTAAAACTTGAACTTGAATTTCATGTAACACACATTCACTAAGAAAAGTCAGAGAAGCAGAAGAGCGAAAAGAAGTAAAAAGCACATATAATCCTACTCATTGCAGGAAACCACTGTTAAGATATCTACTTATGTTCTTTCGTCTTTTTTCACTGCTGATATACATGCTGAAAAAAGCTTTTTTTCCTCCTGAAAACAAAAAAAAAACTGTTTTGAAACACAATTTTGGACTCTGGAGACAGATATCCTGGTTCAAATTCCAGCAAGCCGCTTCTTACCATCTATGTGACCTTCGGAAAGTTACTTAACCTCTCTGTGCCTTACTTTGCTTTACGTATATAAAGGAGGAAATAATACCACATCCCTCCTAGTGTTGGTGGGATGAGTTAACACATAGAAAGTGCTCAGAACTGTGCCTGGCACATGGCAAACACAAGTGTGATGTCACCACTTATTATTACATGCATAAGGCAATGTCTGTCCGGATAATAACCTGTGATGGCATAATTTGCGTTGCTGGGGATCCCTGGGATGATGGCACCCGCATTTATTTAACGTCCTCTGCTGTTAGGCATTCATATTGTTCCAGTTTATCTTTTTTTTTCTATAAACAACTACAGGATAAACACCCTTGAACAAACACCTCGGCACACATCTTTATTTGTTCCTAAAAATTCAACTGCTGAGTCACAGATCACACGTCTTTTTAAACTTCTGATACATCATGGCCAACCGGCCCTTCATAAAAGCTGCACCAGTTCCTCTCTGCATGCACAGTGGGACCCTCACCTGTGGGGGGTGGGGGGGGAGAGGATCTGCGCGCCCCTCCCTCCTGCAGACCACACCCCTCTCACTCATCTGCATGGCCTCCACCCACACTGCAGCACACTGGTGAAGCAGAGGAGTTTGTTGAAATGGATGAACTGGAAATGAGGATTTGGGATCCTATTTTCAGCTTGCTGGGATAAATCTGTGCTTCTCATTTTCCCCCACATGTAAAATGTGGGTCAACACACCTGCCAAGAATCAAACACTATTTAAAGGTAGTCTATGAAATTGTGTGGGACTGCATATTCCGTGCATTCAAATGACACCAAAATTCCAGACAGAACAGGCAAAAAGTTTTGCTTTTTAATCACACATCGAGTATATTTTTAAAACATTTCCAACACCCAACATCAGGGCTCCCCAGGGACCATATCAGAGCCCCAAATCTGCCATTTTAGAGTTCCCTCGGGACGCCAAACCATCCTGGAGGCATACTGTTTGAGTGTCAATGCACATAAGCCATCGCTTTCCTATTTCCAAGCAGACGAATGTCCCACTTTCCCACATCGCACTAAGAAATAAGAAAAAAAAACCAGCCACAAAAGGCACCAAGAGCCTGTCCTCTGAAGACTGCAGCAAACTTGTGTGGGTGCACGGGGGGCAGCGTGTGGGGTCCTCCCAGTGCTAATGAGGTAGGGCCCTTATTCCCGTTTTACTGATCAGGAGACTGAGCCTCAGAGAAATTACGAATTTGCTCAGGAGCTGAGACCTGAAATTACAACCTCTGGTCCCCAAATCCCTGCCCTCCTTACACGCAGGACTCTGAGAGAGTCTGGAAGATGCTGGCCACCACGTGCATCACTTGCCTGTGAAACTTCCTAGAACAGCCCCTACCACCTGCGGCTTCTCTCGGCAACAAAAAGACATGCTCGGACTGGGCACGACAACCCATGGACGTCCTTCCAGCCCCACAGGTGAGGCGCACCTGGCTTTCCCCACCTGCTGTCAGAGCTGGGACCTGGGGCCAGCAGGGCCCAACTCCAGATGTCATGCCCCAGTCTGTCCCGCGTGACGGAGAACTGAGGTCTCAGCAGAGTCCCCCGGGGGGCACACTGCAGGGAGATCTGGATTTGTCCCCCGGGGGCACACTGCAGAGAGATCTGGATTGTGTGGAGAAGACAGAGAAGGAACTGGAACATCTCAGAAGAGGAGCAAAGGGGAAGGGAGAGACCCTAGGACACTGAGGAGGGAGCTCGGGGACAGCAGCCCTACAGATACGATTTGCTGACGTCTGCCGGACGCTGCACGCAGCGTGGACACACTCTCACAGCTAACTGCTGAAACACACAACCAGATAGGTTCCATGATGATCCCATTTTACAGACGGGAAAAAGAAGTGTAGAACAGCTTGAAGGCTGGCCCGAAGCCAGGCAGTTTGAACACATGGGATGGCTCAGTGCTCAGGTTTGAAACCGAGCTCCACCTCTTCCCCGTTGTATGAAGACATGGCTGACCTCACTGGGGAAATGGGCAGGATGATAAAAGGGGAGAATGTGAAAACTACAAACAGCTAGAGAAATAGTTCAGCAAAGAGGTTCAATGGAACAATTCCCTAATGCTGTCAGGGAGTTATGGGCTTCTAAGGAATTATCCCGGAGACACCACTGAGCCTGGACTCAGTCAACAATGATTGAGCATTTGCTGTATGCCACCACAGTCAACACGGAGCCATGCTGACCTTGGCCTGCTCGTCACCCAGCAGGGAAGACAGGTCAGAATCTCACAGATGCATGTGAGCAGGGATAAGGTGGGATTAGGGACAGATCCAAACTTTCTAGTGGCCAGCCAGCCAGGGGAGGTGGAAGCTCTCCATGACAGGAACTCTCCAGAAGGGAGATGAAGCCCCAGAGGTGCCCACCAGGGCCAGCCCCCTCACCTGTGCTACCTCAGTGAGCCTCAAGCCAACTCTCAGAGGGAGGGGTCAAGAGTTTCATCTCTAAAAGAAAACTGAAGTCAGAGAGGTTAAGAAAGCTGTCTGAAATCACACAGCTGGTCAGCAGAGGGGCTGGGATTTGAACCCTTATCTGTGGGACCAGGAGGAGGACAGGAGTTGGGGAGAAGGTCAAAGACCACCAGGCAGAGATGAAAGGGATGCACTGTCTCCCAGAGCCTGGTGGGAGGTGCAAGTGGGGCCTGTGACCCACGACAGTGCCCGAGGGCTCCTGTTCCAGCCTTGCCACGGGCTGAGGAGTCTGCCAGAACCAGGCAAGCCTGTCTGATGAGGGAGGAGGGCCCTGAACCTGTACCCAGGAGATAAGGGCACACTTCACCGGGACCCCAAGGCTGGGCCCCCAGGGGAGCCCCCATGCATGCCTCCCCAGAGCTTTCTTCCTCCGGGGCCTTCTGGGGCCACAGAGGAGAAGGGGAGGATCCAGAAGTCCTGCCCTCTGAGCAGGGCTCCAAACATCCACGGGGTTGAAAAACTTTCCCTCAAGGGCATTAACAAGTGCATTGGCCTCGAAGTCAGGTGGGCCGGCCTGCCTCTAGTGAGCTCTACAAGAAAAAGCTGGCAAGGGATTGGAGCGAGGGCCAGCCCCGTGGCTCACCCAACTCAGATCTGGCCCTTCTGAGCCCCGGGCCAGGCTTTCCAGTGCTTCAGAACGGCCCCCTCTTCCCTTGTTTGTGAGCCTGCCCAGAGCCCAGGAGCAGCAGCCGCAGGTGACAGCTCTCACTCACAGCCGGAAACCTCACCAGACCTCTCCTTCCTGCTCCAGGCCCTCCAGCCTCCGCATCACCCACAAGGCCTATATGTGAGCTGGTCCCTCCCTCCGCAGCCTGCGATGCCACTTCTCTCTCCATTAATAGAAATGCTGCCTTTTAGGGTCCAGTTCGAACACTGCCATGTACTCAAATCTCTCTGCTCCCCTCCCGCGCCCTGACTCCGACTCCAGCCTGTTTCCTGAGTGCACCCCCACACTGCTGCCCCCTTCGCTGTCTTGTAACAGGGCTCCTGTGCTCTGTTCTCACACCAGACAGAAAGGTCCTCTAGGTCAGGAACAAAGCCTTCCAGGTGCCCGACCACCTCCACTGCCCAGGCCCTGGCGAGATGGGGGCCCTGGGTGTTTCCCTTTCCTCCCCCCTCCCTCCCCCGAGTCTCTCCTCACAACCTCAGGGGTGGGAGCGCTCTCCCACCTTCCGGACACGGGGTCTCCGGCCTCGCTCTTTCCTCATCCACTTCAGGGCATACCCAGTGTCCCCCGCAGATCTCCAGCCACAGCACCCGGGATGCGGCTTCCAGCAGGGTGTCCGGCTCCTTCTCCAGAGGAGCCTCGAGGCTGAGAGTCCCCACTCAGCGGGGTCCCATCTGGTTGCCCACTTCACAGACCACTTGGCCTCTACTCCCAGCAAGAAACTTCTAGGGAGAGGCGCTCAGATTGTAAAAGGCCTACGGCAGGGGTCCTGTTGGGAGCCCAGAGAGCTCCTCCTTAACCGGGGACCGCGACACTGATTGGAGGGCAAGGGCTCTGAAATCTCTCTCGGTGCCCCGACTGCAGCTCGGCTAGTCGGACGCTCCAAGCGGCCGCTCCCCTGCCCCGCGCTCCCGCCTGCGGGACGCCGGCACCGCGGACTGGAGCAGAGCCGGGCGGGACACAGCCCCGCGTCCCCTCTCCGGCCGTGCTCCGCGCAGGGACCGAGAGCGAGCGCACCAGCTCGGAATCGGCTGGCCTCCGCACCCGCACCTACAGCTCGAACCCGAGCCTCCCCGAACCCCGGCCGGCGCGCCGGGCTCCCGCTCCAACTCGGAAAGTAGCGGGCGGCGGAGGGGAAGGGCCGGCGGTACCTGTCAGCAGTTCGATCTTGTGCCCCAGCACCTTCATCTCCGCGTTGCGGCGTCGGGGAGCGCGCTCGGCAGAGCCGGGAGAGGGGCGCGGGAGGCGACGAGCGGAGCAGCCGGAGAGCCAGGAGCCAGGCAGGCGGAGCTGCCGGGAGCCAGGAGCGCTCTCGCCGCCCCCCCTCGCCGCTCTCCCCCCTCCAAAGCCGGTTAAAAAAATCCACCAATTGCACGACCGCGCACCCCTAAAAGGCGCGCGCCGCCACCTGGTCGGGGTGATCTCCGGGAGGCGGAGGGAGCGCGCGGGCTGGGTGCGGGTGACACTCCCGGCGGCGGCGGGAGGGGGGCCCCCTGCGCCGGTCGCCCGAACAAAGAGGCCTTGCCGCCCGCGTCTCCCCCACCGCGACACCTGGGGGTCCCCGCGTCTGGCTGGGAGGGGGGTACCCGCCTCGTAAGCCAAGGGTGGCCCCAGCGAGAGGGCGCGCGGCTCGCGAGTCTCGGGTCGTGCGGGGAGGCAGAGCTGGGGTGGGGGGCTGGCCGCAGCCGCAACGACAGAGGGGCGAGGGGGAGAAGGGCCTCGGCGCCGCCGACTCACCGGGGTGATGTGAGAGAGACGGACACGCAGGCGGGGAGCCGGGCCTCGGCGCCGCCGCCGCCAACGCGCGGGTGCAGGTGCGGGCAGCAGGGAGCCCCTCCGCCTCGCTGCCGCTGCGGGGGGCGGAGGCCGGGCTGGGGGCGGAGCGCCGCGGGGGGCGTGCCCACGTGGGTGTGGTGGGCG